GCGCGTGTATTTTTTGTTTTGCTTAGAATTTCCTATTTTTATTTGAAGATGAGGATAGTTTTAATGAGGATAGTTTTTTTTTAACATTATTTTAACAATTTAGAGAACAAAAATGTTAGGTAGAGAAAAATGTTTACGTTTCCTAATACAAAGTAAGAAACCAATCATATGATTCTCCTTAGCTAAGAGCTCCCTCCAGTGGCATTGTGGATATTATTGAAAGGGTTAAATTAAAGGAATAGGTGATTGGACAAAGATTTTTCTTTTGGGGAGATTATCTAATTTTACAAGCAAAGTTTAGAGGATTTGATTTGCACTTAATGTGCCCCATTGATTTAGTAAAATACCTTTCTTAATATTTTAAAAAAATCTACCCACAAAAAGAGCACAAGTACTCAGGTGAAACTCTTAAATCTTAATTAGTACTAATTTCACCATTCCTGTCTCTTAGCCTTTGTATTCGGACCTCCTGGAGTTTAAAAATGGAAGAAGGAAGAGCCATAGTGTTTTCTTTCTGCATTCTATTGTTTCCTAATCCAGATATTAATACTGAGGTTGACATCTATCAATTATTTCCTTTTGTTAGATGCCAAGATATTATTCCAAATCTTCAGAATAGTTTTCATAAGAAAAAGTATTAATAACTGCTTTTTTCAAAGGAATTCTTTTGGAGTTGAATACAATCTATATGTGTTGTTTTTCTGTACTGATTTTTACTGTTTTTGGACTTGTAACCTGTTCATTGTTTAGTGTAACATTTATTTTTATAATCTGTAAGGGTCATAATATCTTCCTTGTAACTTATTTTTGGAATATCTTAGTTGTCCAGTCCATTTCGAAGGCCACATAATAAGGGTATAATGAATTTTCTTGATTGCGAGTGTTATAATAGAAGGAAGGAAGATCCCTGTGAAAAACTATACTTTTCAGCTTTGGATAGTATCAGATAAACAATACAAAAAATAGTATTTACTTATGTGTGCCTTTTTAACATTGCTCTTTTAATACTTTTAAAAATCCCATATAAATTTCTGTCTCTTATTTACAAAATACTTGACATTGTTCTTTAACATTGTTCAGATACCCTCTCAGCTGCATCAGAAGTCAGCCCATACAGTTCTTTCCAAGGGTAGATTTGGAAGGTGTGTTGAAAAGTTTCCTTTCAGATTTAAAATCTAAACTGCCCCATATATGTGGATTCCCCGTAAAGATGACAAATAAACCGTGCTACTACACACAAGAACTAACTAAACCTCACATACAGGTAAGAGATTTCTTATCCTATCTAATTCTCCAAGACATGCTATCCACCAATTTTTCTTGAATCTCTTGCCTTCTGGAGTGGAACGCCCAATCCATTGTGTAGTAGTTCTTTTCTCTAAGTTCAGTGTTTCCCTAATACTGTTTATTATTATTATTATTATTGTACTTAGACATTTATCACTGCTGTTTGTTATTACTGTATTCAACACAGTCTTATAGTAGTTTACTGAAATGTTTCATTCACATCAAGGATATAAATGAGTTGGGTTGTTGGAAATTAAAGAGAATTTTGTAAAGCGTATTTATTTGGAGATGCTGTGCTGTCAGTATAAGCTCAATTAAGCGGAAGGTGAGATGCTTTCCCCTCACCAAGTCAAGTAAGCGAAGGGCTTCTATGGAACCACTCAGAACTTCAAGTGTGACTCCTGCAGTATGAGGAAAACAGTGGGCTAGTGTCTGGCATCATTAGGTAGTTAGTATAACTGGCTGTCTGCTGATGAACAAGTTAAAGAAGAAATGGCCATTTGGGGATTGGCCTATACCCCAGAGTTTGTCAGAACAAAGGAGTAGAAGACATAATGTGAAATCAGATTCAGAATTTTTATTTTTACTGAGGCAGGAAAGTTTCAGGGAGAGAGGAGTATTTCCTGCTGGATTTGTCCCTTCTGCATTTTTAAAATCCATTCTTGTGGTGACATATGGCACACATACAGAAAAGTACATATGTGTACAGCTTAATGCTTATGAACCACCCATGTAACCATTACCCAGATTAAAAAAATAGAACATTGCCAGGACTTTAGGAGACTCCAGCTTGCTAGTCCTGGTCATCACCCCTTCCCTCCTCCCAAAAGATAACCACTATCCTGACTTCTATGGTAATTATTCCTTGTTTTCTTTGTTTTTATTAAGTAAGCATGTATCCTTAAACACCACATTTTAGTTTTGCCTGCTTTTGAACTTTATGTAAAAGAAATCATAGAGTATGTATTCCTTTGTGTCTGGCTTTTTAGGCTCAGCATCATGTTTGTGACATTCATCCATGTTGTCCTACTTAGCTATAGTCAGTTCATTTTCATTTTTATGTAGTATTTTATTACATGATTATGCCACAGTTTATTCAGAATACCGTGGATGGATATTTGGATTGTTTATGTTATTACTAGTAATGCTGCAGTGAACATTCTTGTGTATATCTCCTGGTGCACATGTGCGTGAAAGCTCCAGGAGTGGAATTGGTATGTATATTTCCAACTTCAGTAGCTATGCCAAACTATTTGCCTAAGTGGTTGTACTAGTTTGTACTTCCCCTCACCTCCACCCAAGCAGTGTAGGAGAATTAATGTTGCTGCACATCCTTGCCCACATTTGGTATTGTCAGTCTGTAATTTCAGCCATGCTGGCAGGTGTATTTAATGAGTATCTTTTCACATGTATATTGGCCGTTTGGGTGTCTTTTTTAAAGTGCCTCTCTTTCTGTTCTACTATGTTATATTTGTTTGTCTGTTTGTTTGATTTGTAGGTATTCTTAACATATGCCAGGCATAGTTCTTTATTAGTTATACACAATTATCTTCTTCCATTCTGTGATACACTTTCTCACTCTCTTAATGGTGTCTTGGTATCTTTTGGCAGAGCCTTAGTTTATAGTCAACATTATCAGTATTTTTTTTATGTTTGGTGCTTTTTGTGTCTAGTTTAAAAATATTTCTATACCCCAAAGTCTTGAAGATATTCTTCTGTATTATCATCTAATAAAAGGTTTATTGTTTTCCATTCACCTTTAGGTCTACAATGCAATCGGAATTTATTTTTGTAATAGGACGTGATGTAGGGAATCAAATTTCTTTCTTAATATGGATATCCCTTTGTCCAAGAAAAAAAAAAGACCATTCTTTCCCTGCTACTTTTTCCCCCCAATACATTTTCCTACCAATATTGTGCAGTATTACCTTTGTCATGAATCCAGTGTCTTAGGTGTGTAGTATTGTTTCTGGACTGTCTAATCTCTTTGTCTGGTCTGTTTGTTTATTCTTGCACCAATACCACACTTTTAGAATTATCTTAATAAATCTTAAATTTTATATTTATTATAAAGTGTTGTAATAACATTAAATTTTATGATATTTTTGAAATCTGATAAAGTATCTTAGCTATTCTTTATCTGTGCATTTCCATATACATTTAGTTTCAACTTGTCAAGTTACACACATACACACACTCATACACACACACACACACACACACACAGAGCCTGTTGGGATTTTGATTAGAATTTCATTGAGTCTAATGATCCATGAATGTTGTATATTTCCTCCCCCATTAAATATATCTTTAATTTCTCTCAACAATAGTTCATAATTTTATATAAAGGGAAGTCTTATGTACTTTTATAATATTTATTCCTAGGGGTTTGATATTTTTGAATGTTATTGTGAATGGTATCTTTTTAAAATTTTTATTTCTTTATTATTTATTTCAAAATATTTTCAGATTTTAACTTGGATTTTTCTTTTGTCCCATGAGTTAAAGCATATTACTTAATTTTCTAAAATACGGGAATTTTCTAGTTATCTTTTGTTTATGTGTTTGAAGCTTAAATGTATTATGATCTTTCAGTTGCTGAGAGGTGGTTCTAATCTCCTACTATGATTGTGCATTTGTCTACTTCTCCTACTTTCAGTTTTGCTTTTTGTATTTTGAGTTATTAGCTACATGTAAATTTGGAACTTGGAATTGTTTGTCTTCCTGGTCAGGGGCCAACTCCTCCTACTATTAGTTGGAGAAAAATGGTACAAAAACATGACAACCTAGACGTCAGGGGCCAAAGACAAGGCCATTTCCTTAGAAGGGAGTGTGGGTAGACAGATACCAATTGACATTTTATGATAGTGTTAAAACCTTGTCCAGACATAATGTAAGTTTAGTTGCTGGCCAAGTCCCAATCTGAGGAATTTGGAAAAAGATATGTCACTATATCATGCACTTTTATTGAATATATTTATAGAGTACCTAATATTTTTAGCTCATGTCTGTTTTAGAATTAGTGAATCAGAACAATGTATTTGTGAAAATTTGCTTCATAAATGTAAAATAACATTTAATTACAAATTCTGATCTTTATATTACTCCTGACAAAAAGAATTTATCCTACTCAATTATATCGAGTGCGTTCTGTATGCCAGGTGCTTTTATGTGCATTATCTCATTTAATCATCAAAATTGACCTTTTGGATAAAGAATTGTTTTCTCAATTTTGCAAAAGAGGAAACTGAAGCTCAGAGCATCCAGTAATTTAACCAAAGCCACACAGATAATACATTACAAAGTTAGAATTGAAACCCAGATAGTCAGATTCTTAGTCCTGTAATTGGAAGAAATTTAGATTTGTGACTGAGAGCTCAAGCCCTAGGAACAGGCAGCTTGGATTTGAACCCCTTACTACTTGTATAATTTTTGGCAAGTTTTTGAATTTCTCTTTGCCTCAGTTTCGTCAGCTGCAAATTGGGGTGGGGGCTAGTGGTGGTGGTAATGATAGCGCTTGTCACAGATTGGGTTCTCTAGGAGCCAACTCTGAGATGGAGTCTAGTGCGTGTGATGTTTCTTAGGGACTGCCCTTCAAAGCAATCCCCATGGAAGGCAGGAAGAAAGCAAGATTGGGTAAAAGGAGAAGTCAAAAGCAAGGGAGGCACCAGATAGCCTCTGCCAACCTTCTGAGGAGCTCTGAGACTAAAATTGCCCATCAGAGTTGTTCTGCATTGACCAAAATAGACAGGCCTTTATAACCCTTCCTGTGTCTGTCATTTGATTTGGGCCACCCTGAGGCATGTCCTTGGGCAGTGGCTCTCTATGACCAGCAGCAGGGGGCAGCAAGTCCTTCCTTGAAGGGGGTTGTGTCCTGTGCAGTACTTACTTCATAGGTGTTATTTCTTAGGATTAAATGAGATAATACTTAGAATAGTTTCTTGTGTAATACTTAGCTCTCAGTAAATGTTAGTTCTTATTACTGAACTGCATACATGTTATCTCTAACATTCATGCAATATTAAAAAGTTAAGTTTAAAAAAATGAAAAATAAATTGATCAGACTACTTGATAAAACTCTACCAACTTTAAAAAAATTAAAGTAACAGGAGTGGTTAGCCAAACTATGTTTTTTAAAACTTATAGAAATTTTCAAAGGTACATAAAGGAAGTTAGTATAATGACCTCTCATGTGCCTATCATCTAATTCCCCTTTGACGTATTTTTGGGTAGGGGATAAACTGGAAGTTTTTAAAACAAATCCCAGTTGTGACATTATTTCACCTGTGAAGCCTATAGTGTGCATTTCTGTCTCATAAGAGCTTTTCAAAAACATTTTTAAATAGCCTCCATGCCATTATTACCCCTAACAGAATTAGCGATAAATAGTTCCTTAATATTTTCAGGTACCAGTTCACACTGCAATTCCTCATTAATCTCAAAGACTTATTTTTAGGGGTTTTGTTTAAATAAGAATCCAAACAAGGTTTGCATAATTTCATTTGTTATATCTCTTGAGTTTCTTTATAACATTCCAAACCCTCTCCCCTTTTATTTATGCCAGTTATTTCCTAGAAAAACTAGATCATTTGCCCTGGAGAATGACCCATATTCTGAATTTCACTGCTTCCTTGTGTCATGTTATTTAAAATTAACATATTCTTCTAAACTCCGTATTTCCTGTGAACCTCTGGTTATATCTCAGCTTCACTAAATTCTGGTTCAACTTTAAGCGAGAAACACACTGAGGTGGTTCCATTCACCAAACCAGATTTTAATAGATAAAACACATTTGATCAGTCATTTTCTTAATTTCTCGAGTAATTATATTTGATTATTACTTTAATACTAAACCTCCATGAGATATCTATTTATATCTAAATATAGGTTAATGCTTTTGGTTTTCCTGTATGATTTTATGTTAATGTATAAAGTTACATAAATTGTATGTAAATTATAGAAATTAAAAGTCACCCAAGTTAGGTTAGCTAATGACACCTAGCAGAAAAATGATATAATAAAGAATATTTTTAATTGGCTTATGACTTCACAAAGCTTTGGTTTGTTGGCCATTTAAGTATATTTAAGTTCTGTGAATTATTTATAACCTCATCTGCTGTTTATATAGGCCTTTTTGGTATTCTTTTTATAAATTTTGAATATAAACCTAGAGGTTCCCCCCTTTAGGCTATTTATTGTATTTTAAAAATTGAAAGAATGAGTAAATAATATATTGACAGGCTAGGAGGCAAAACAAACTCCTAGAAATTATTTTCACAGGATGTATATTTCTGAGAGACAGATGAAGAAGAAACAGGGTGTGAATATAAACATATTTCAAACACAAAACACATATTCCAGAAAAGTTTTATGTCAGAATACAAGCAATTTATTCTTATATGAATCTATGCGTTTTTCTTTTGGTATCTCAAGTAGCAGATATGGTGTTTCAATGTTACTACAGTTAATAGAACCCAAAGGTCCAAAAAATGGGTGTTTTTTGCTTTTCTAGAATTGATTTCAACTTAGTTCTTATGCCCTTTTTCATCAAATGGAAAAAAATTCAGTCTAGATACTTCAAGGTGACTCAGTCACTTCTGACAAAACATTTCTTTGAAGTAGAATTTCAATCAAATCTAAGAACCCTTCTCATGATAGCATCTCCATGCAGGGAAAGCTCGCATAGGGTGAGGGCAGTGGTGTGTGGCGAAGTGCATTGGTACCCGTGCCTAGTGTTCTCTGTAGCAAGAGAATGGCTGCCCTGTGCTCTGCTCCGGACACCTATACTTGAGCTCCTGCTGATTCTGCAACTGAGAATCAAAGGAATTCATAATTAAGCTTTTCAGCAAAATAGCAGAAGTATGGCTTGAGCTTCCTCCTTTCAAGAACATTATGAGTGCATCTGATCAGCTGGTTCTAAATCACGTTGCAACCCTAGCTACAAAGGACAAAATGTCAATTTTAGATTTCCAGGCTCTAGTCCAGGCAGGAACACTAGGCGGAAGATGGGGAGGAAGTTGAACACCAGTCCTCCCTATCCATTGCAGAGTCACGGCGGGTGGGGCGGGGAAGGGCCGGTGATGGGGGCAGGGTTGACTATTGGTGATGGTCTCTGCTCACATGGTATCTTCACAAGATGGTGTATGAGGTTTTATTAGACACTTTTAGCTTTACCCCAGCTCCCTGTACAGGGGGTCTTCAGAAAAATAGCCACATGCCCTCTTCACTCTCTCCAGAAGTATATATCAAACTCTGTTATGAGTTGAATTGTGTCTCCAAATCCATGTGTTGAAGTCCTAATCCCGATACCTCAGGATGTGACTAGGGTCCCTGCAGTAGGAAGAGGTCACACTGGAGGAGAGCAGGCCCCTAATCCGTATGACTGGTGTTCTCATAGAAAGGGACAATCTGGACACAGACACACATAGAATGAGAACGCCGCGGAATGTGAAGATGTCCTTCTACTAGCCGAGGAGAGAGGCCTGGAACAGATCCTTTATTCACGGCCCTTTGAAGGAAGCAACCCTGCCAACACCTCAATTTCAGACTTCTAGTCTCTCGAAATGTGAGATAACACATTTCTGTTGCTTAAGCCACCCAGCTCTTGGCACTTTGTTATAGCAGCCCTAGCAAACAACACAAACCCCTTCTTGATGCATGGTTTTTCACTCAGCCAAGCAATGTCAAGGGCAATAAGCCAGCAACTACTCCTCCATTAGCCTCTGTATTCCTTCTTTGAGGGTCACGAAAACTGGCCAGGTCTTCTGTTACTCCCTGAAAATATAGGCAATTAGAGAAGGGTGTGATCTGGTCTGAATGTTTGCATTCCTCCAAAATTCAAGTGTTGACATCCTAACCCCCAAGATGATGCTATTAGAAGGTGGGGCCTTTGGGAGGTGATTAAGTATTAGGAGGTGAAGTGCTCGTAAATTGGATTAGTGCTCTTATAAAAAAAGCCCAAGAAAGATCTGCCTGGACCTTAGATTTCCCAGCTTCCAAAACAGTTAGAAATAAATTTCTGTTGTTTATAAGCTACCAAGTTTCTGGTATTTTGTTATAGCAACCCAAACAAACTAAGACAGGTGTCATCTTGTCCCAGTGGCATGGTAAGCCTCCAATCTGAGAAATCTTCAGACAAGAAAGGCTCACCATTCGCCTATGTCAGCATCACCCTCAAACCTAGCCCAGTATTTTCTTGGGGACTTCCCACTTTTCCTAAGAATAGTCAAGGTTGGAGGAGTATTGTTCCCTATGGCAACTTTCTATTACATCAACTTAAGTATTCTAGAAATATGTTTCCATGAATTCCCTTCTCCATATAGTTCTGGCTTAGGGTGGCACATAATGGGGAAAGTGGAGGTGAAGTAAGAGCCATGCTGATGCTCCAGTCTGTGAGGCTGCCACTGCAATGCACGCTCACTGGGAACCGCAGCACGCATGGTCAGTATGGACCAGGAGTTGGCCATAGCTCCTTCAGCTCCTGCCACATCTCCTCTTTAGCTTCTCTAAATCAGGTTTGTACGCAGCTCCTTCGCAAAGTGCACCAGCCCTTCTGTGTGCCACTGGTGCTGTGAACACCGGAGGCTTGCAGGTAGTGAGAGAGCACGTGGCTCTGGCTAGAGACAGGCTGCCCTGTGACATCTCCTGCATTTTCCAAAGTGGCCACAACAAGATCACCTACCCCACATGCTCTTCTGGCCAGTGACAGCCCTCCTCCCACCAAGGTGCGGGTCTCTGTTCTAAGTCTGGGCAGCTCTGTGGCAGAGTGAGGCTGTGTGACTCCGAGGCTAGGTCATTAGAAACAGCTTCCACCAGGTCCCTCTAGGGTCATTTGTTCTTGGAATCCCACTGCCATCCACGGAGGATCCCTGGCACGTGAAGAGACTACCTATAGGTATTGCAGCCAACAGCTAGCATCAACCATCACAAGTGAATGAGAAAGTGACTCCAAGGTGACTCTGGCACCAGAGTCATCTAACCACACAACATGAGAGACCCCAAGCTAAGCCAAGCCAACCCCAAGAATAATGAAAGATGATAACATAATGATTACTGCTTTTAAGCAACTAAATTTTGATGTGATTTGTTACGCCTAATAGATAACTGGATCAGTCTCTTACTTTTCCTGTGCCTGTTTATAAACTCTGATCTCCCAAAACTCTCCATTCTCTTCTCAACCCCATTCAACAATTGAGCCTCCAGCAGGAGAGAGAAAAACCAGTTGTTTTGGTTTGTATATTGTTCCTAGCAGTTTAAAAACATTGTCAAACTTTGAATCACTGTCTTCGATGTAGTAGGATGAGAAAAGAATTCCATGTTCACGCTTCAGATTATTGCCACATATCACTCTTTTCCAGACATTGGGACTCGATAGATAAGTATTTTAAAAGACTATTAATACTTTCCATCAACAGATGAAAAGATAAAATGTGGCATATACATACAATGGAATATTCAGCCATAAAAAGGAATGAAATTCTGATACATGCTACAGCATGGATGAACCTTGAAAACATTATGCTTAGTGAAATAAGCCAGACACAAAAAGACAAATATTGTATGACTCCGCTCATATGAGGTACCTAAGAATGGGCGAGTTCATAGAGATAGAAACTAGAATAGAGGTTACCAGGGGCTAGGAGGAAGGGGACACAGGGAATTATTGTTTACGGAGTACAGAGTTTCTGTTTGGAATGAAGAAAACGTTTTGGAAATACATAGTGATGATGGTTACATAACACAGGTTCAGTGGTGAATGTACTTAAAGCCACTGAATTGTTCACTTAAAAATGGTTAAAATGGGCAACACAGTGAGACTCTGTCTCAAAAAAAAAAATGGTTAAAATGGTAAATTTTATATTAACCATAGTTTAAAAAAAAAAAGGACTATAAACACTTGGCTCTCTATTTTCTGACGAGTTTGTTTGACGAATACTTGCTGAATTACAGGTACCAGGCACCGTGGTAGGCAATGAAAAAATAAACATGATTAAGACACAGACAGCCCCTGCCCTGTAGTCGAAACCCCACTCATTGCCGAAGGCCTAGTGTAGGTGCAGCCACCTCCTCCATTAATTTAATGTCTTTCACCAAGTATTTATGAGTAACTTTGAAGGATGTAGGAATAAATAAGTCATGGTCCTTACCTTCCTGGAATCTAGTACCAACTTAGGGAGATGAAACATGTGCACTAAAAGGTACGAGTGCTCATCTTGTGTTATTTTTTGTGACAAATGGTATTTAACTGATAGCAGATCCTTGGAGAGTTGAGAGAAACAGTCACAGTATGCTACTTTGCCTGGTGGAGGATTCAGAGGAGGTGGGACTTTGAGGTCTTAGAGGAAGACACAACTTGATCAGAGGGAGAAGAGCAAGAGAAGAGGGGGACATCCATCTGAGCAGGACAGCAGCATGAGCCTGTTTGGAGGATAGTGGGTACCCATGTGTGCAGTTTTTATAGTTGATTCATGTGACTGTAGAGTATGCCTTAATCTTAAAATATTATCTTGAGAGGATGGTATCTAAAAAAGGATGCAAACCATAAGAAATGTACATATTTCCATCACAAGGCCCATTTTTATTTTGTTTTTCTTTACCTGTTCTATATATGATAGTGTCACTTTATATTTTTATTTAGAGGATATTGTATATTTTATTTCTTTTCCATTAAGGACATTATTTCATTTTTAAAATTTCTTAATATTTATCCTTTCAGGAAAACAAAGTCAAGCCACCCAATTTGACCACTAAAAGAATGTTCAGGATATCTCTGACTCAAGCCGGTTCCATAAAACCTACTTTGGCTCAAAGTCTTCTACCATGTTCAGTAGCAGCAGGCCACAGGGAGGAGCTTTCGGTCAGTCAGCCCAAGTCAGGCATTTTCTCAGCTCTGTCTCTCCAGCCAGAGTCTGTTCAGGACAGAAAGAAATCCCTGTCTAACAAGGTACCACAAGTACATTTGGAAGCAGTAAAGCCCGACAGAGAAAATACTCAAGTTCAACATACAAATCTTAGCTCCCAAAATAACATCACCCCTAAATTCATACCAGTTTTCAAAAAAAGATTATTACAGATGAATGAAAATATCTCAGCACTTGGCAACCTGAAAAGAAAACAGCATGTTGTTACAGAATCTAAATTGTTTTCACTTAAAACTAGTATGATCCAGGATGACAAACTGAATTTAGCTCCAGCTGTAAAAAAAAGATCTAATAGTAACATTCAGATGCATGCTAAAAATTTAAATCAGAAGAGTTCCAGACTTCTGCAAGAAAAAAATGCTGAGTTCTGTGAAGATATGACAAAATTTCCCTCTTCTAATGGAAAATCAACTGTGAGTTTAAATGAAAGTAAACAGCTATCTAATAGTGCAGTATTTCATATGAAAAATAATTTAGGGGTGATAAAAAGTACTGTTGACTTCCAAGTGAATGGAAAAGAGAATTTAACAAGCAAATGCATAACACAAATTTTAGGGAGGGGCCATGAGTCACTAAAACTGGAAAGAAAACCACACATTTTTGAATCAGATGCAGAAACAGAATATCCCCAAGTGCTACAGCAGCAATCAGCAAATCAAGCTAAAGAAGTTGATGTAAGTGATCCCAGGTTGATAGTAAACAGAACAGCCCACAGGTCTAAAAGGAAATCATGTCCGGAGTCTTCAAAAACTTCAAAGAAATGTCATCCCAATACGGTCCATGATGCGCAGTCCGGTTCTTCTAGGAACCAGGTAAAATTTTTTTTTAATTTGGGGATATTCATTGTATGCTAGACTTTTAAACCCCCTAAGTGGGGATTTAAATGATTTGCCCGAGATCATCTAGAAACATACTAATTAAGAAACACTGGGGAGGTGAAGGGCAGGGAGACAGGACTAGGAAGAGTATACAGCAATAGCAGACTGCCTAAGGATAGAATATTCAGACAGCTCCTAGGTACGTACATTTTGAGACTCTTACCCAAAGTAATAAACCTTAAATAATGTTTCAAAGGTTAATCATTAAGTTAAATTTTACTCTAAAAGTGCTGCAATGCTGGCTAAATTTAAACTTGAGCTTTAATGCTGAGTCCACAGCACAGAATTTATAAAACCACGCATCTGGAAATTACATTTTATTCCATTCTGCCATCTGCTCTTTTCTAAGAACAAACATATTGCTAAAATATCCACAAATACTTTTTTGCATAGAACTATTGGAATACTTTCAATTCAAATTCTTTAAGAACTAACTAGAAAACATTTTATTTTCTCTTCCAAATGCTATTTTTTCCTATAACTAATAGAATTCTCAGCCTGATTTTAATTAACCAAAATGTATTTAAGTCTATTCCTATATAGATAATGTTGTGTTTTATGTAGTTTTTTGACGTCTTACATTTTAATGCACTAAGTAGATGGTTGAGGAAAAAATGTATGTGCCTTAAAAATGTTATTTGCATTTTTAGAAATAAATGAAATCTATTCTAGATTTCATATTGTTTTAGAAGTATAGCACTTTCCCACTGAATTACTTAAGACCTGACACAATTTTTAAAGTTAAGAAATCATTCTATCAGCTAGAAAGAATAACATGAGAAAAATTGTAGGAATCATCATAGAAAATAGTTTCCTCCCAATATAAAATTAATATATACTCCTGTAAAAAGTTTGAGTAATACAGAGCAGTTTCAAGAAAAAAGCAAAAAACTATCCTCAATTCGTCTTTGCAGAAATGACCATTCTGAACATTGGATGAACACTCTTCCAGATGTCTCTCACGCTCGCTCCCATGAGCGTGGAATCAGGCTCCACTTTCTGCTGTGGAGCCTCCTGTTTTTCACTCGACAATTTCTTTTTAATGTTTGCAGAGCATTTTGTTGTATATGGATGTACTGCATTTAACTAGTCCCCTGTTGATTGACAACTTTTCACTGTTATAACAATGTCATGTAAGTCTTGTGCAGATCTTTGCAAAATACCTATGATCTTATATAGTAGTTTTGGTAGTTGAAAATATCTTTATTTTGTGCTTACTATTTTTATTATTGAAATTTATTTCGATTAATTATTTTTATTATCAAAACTTTCCAATCTCACAGTACAGATAATAGTATGAAGAACCTCTAAGTACCTATCACCCAGATCTACCAGTAATTAATATTTTGCCACTGTTGCATCTGTTATTCACAGACATTTTTTGCTGTAATATTTTAAAGCAAAGTCAAGATATTATAAAATTTCAACCATAAACACTAAAGTATATATCTCTAACATAAGGTATAGTATTTTATAAGAAAAAAATAATGTGTGTATATATTACATTTGGGGGTGTCTACTATACCTCTGATGGCTCACTAAATTTCAGTTTTGTTTTTACATGAGAACTAATAGGAATCCCTGAATAAACAAACAAAAAACTTATTTCACAGCAGAACTAGAGCTTTTATTGGAGCAGAGATTTCTGTCTCCAGTAATATTCATTGGCATCTACTATGTGCCAGGCAGTGGGTAAGTACTGTGTCCACTACTGAATGGATGAGACTGCCATGACCTGAGCCCAAGGGTTGATGGTCTAGTCTCTAGCACATCCATTCTGGGCTCCTGGCACAGGCTTAGGGACATATATGTATTGAAGTACATGTTCAAAATGACCTTGTCCATATTGCAAATAAGTTTTCTAATATTTGAAAAAAAGAGAAACAGACATAGGGCTTGTCACCTAATGAACATTATTTTGGCTTTCAAACATTTTA